AATTAACAACGTCTAAATATTAAACAGTTCAATAGATATAATAAGATCTCCCATTTTCTCTCAAAACCTAGGTTGCTAAGGATGTAGGGACAGCCTGGTCGGCGTGGCTCAGTGGTTGAGCGTTGACCTATGAACCAGGAGGTCACGGTTTGATTCCTGGTCAGGGCACATGCCAGGATTGCGGGTTTGATCCCCAGTGTAGGGTAGGGTGTGCAGGAGGCAGCCAATCAATGATGCTCTCTTATCATCCTCTCTCTCTCCCCCACCCCCATTCCTCTCTGTAATCAATAAAAATTTTAAAAAGAGTGTAGGGGCCCTGACCAGTTTGGCTCAGTGGCTAGAGCGTCGGCCTGTGGACCGAAGAGTCCCAGGTTCGATTCCAGTCAAGGGCATGTACCTGGGTTGCGGGCACATCCCCAGTGGGGGGTGTGCAGGAGGCAGCTGATGGATGTTTCTCTCTCATGGATTTTTCTGACTCTCTATCCCTCTCCCTTCCTCTCTGTAAAAAATCAATAAAATATATTTTTTAAAAAAAAAAAAATAGAGTGTAGGGACAGGAAACTAAAAATATTTTCAAACCTCTGTGATACCTTTACAACAACAGCTAAAACTCTCATGAGGGATTTATCTCCAAGATCAGAAACTAAAGCATGTAGATCTTCCAAGACCTTAATCTTTGCATGTGGCCGAGTTTGAAAGCTGGCTATTTCGGAAACCATCGGTGGTAGTGATGCGGAAAGGTTTATAAGCGCCCTGGGAGGTGAGAAAACGAGTCCCCCAGAAAAAATGGAGAGAGGACATAAATATTAGCCTGGAGATCAGCCAGGAAGGAGAACTAGGAAAGTTAGCAAAGCCCAAATCATACAGGAAACTGCTCGCCTTAGGGCTCTGCAGCCCTGGTTACGTTTCTACCCACAATCTCCTCAGCTGCCATGACACCCAGGCACCAGTAGACAGAGCAGTAGCAACCCACTTCCCAGAGAAGACGCCTCTCTAGCCACTCTTAGACTTCTCAGCATTTTCAAAGGATTCCACCTCTCATCGTATTTAGGCCGAGATTCCACAATGATCTGCTGATGTTTTCCACTGTGTTGAAAGACTTATTTTACGAGGCAGCAGATACAGAATGAGTGAGACACAGAACGGAATGAGTATGTGTCCAGGATTTGGATGCACAGGTGGGTGGGTGGGTGGATGGGTGAGAAGAAGGGAGTTTGGAGGGGGAAAGAGAAGGAGGAAAGAAGTAGAAAAATACTCCTATTGATGAGCTGGCGAGGGCTACTTACACATGCGGTGGCAGCTCAAAGAAATTGACCCCTTGGTAAAGTTCCATCTGGCTCAGGGTGTAGATGCCCAGCTCCTGGTACGGGTTCACGGACACGAGGAGGGTGCCGATGTATGTCTAGAGGAACGGACCAAAGCACCAGTGAGGCATCCCGGGGTGCAAGTGGCCACCGTAAAAGACCGTCACGAGCTGTGATCCCCATGCGTTCATTCAGAGCTGGGGCTAGAACGTGATGAACAAGACGGGTGGGGTCTCTGTTGTCATGGAGCTTGGTGGACAGGGGCAGACAAACAGCCAAGGGCTCAAGGCTGTTTCCACCAGAGATGAGCGGTAAGAACCGTGTAAATAGGGTAATGAGAGCGAATGACTGAGGAAGGCCACCTTAGCTGGTGGGCTTAGGGCCGGCTTCCTCCAGGAGGTGAAGTCTGAGCTGAGACTTGAAGGATGAGGAGCAAAGTCATGAAAAAAAGTCAGCAGGAAGTCCCAGGCTGGGGAGGGAGTGTGGCAGGTTTGCTGTGAGGCCAGGGAGGGAGGGGAGAACGGAAGGTGGTAAGAGATGATGTTGGGGAGGGAGCGAGTTCACGTCACACAGCGTATGAGGAATGGGGGGTTTTTACTCCAAATGCAATGGATGGTGGAGACACCGCTCTCCCTGCTGGAATGAAACACCTGCCCCGAGCCATTACGGAAAATGAATGACTTTAAGAGGGGCACACCACGCTCGGACGTAGGTTTCACCACGGTCTCTCCGGCCATCGGGCGAAAGCAGGGTGAGCGAACACACCAGCCATTTAAAGCTGGGCAAACGCTCCCCAAGATTTCAACACTGGATTCGATTAGGATTCAAGTGTTGGAAGTACTTATATTTGTAATACAGCCACTAAGGGAAAAACTGTTCGGCACACAATTAGGAATAAAGGTAAGCTGAAAGGCTTTCCCTGAAAAATTGACCAATCAAATTAGGGTGGGGTGATAAATGGAGAATTTAGTAACAACTGGCCACCACTAGAAGCCACAGGACCAACCTGAGTAGTACTCGACCCTTGTAGATTCAGGGGGTGTGGTGGGCCCCCTCTTATTTATGCCTCCCCGGTATCTAGTTCCCCCTCGTCCAACAGATTTCTATGAGGGACCCTCTTCCCCTACTCTCAGTGCATATCATAGGGTCAGAGGGGTACTGGCCTCACCCCTCATTGCCAGGGGTGGCCTTGGGTAAATATTCTGTCCCATCAGAATATTCCTCATTCCTAGCTATTGGGGTTGGTTCAGAGATAGGCCCGTGACCCAACATAGGCCAATCAGAGCCTATCAACATCTGTGTATCTGGGAAGACGTGCTTTCAGCAACTCTAAATGGATGTCAGCGTGGTTCTGTCAGCAGCCAACTGGTCACCTTGTCGAGAGGCTGCCCCACAGAAGGAAACTGACACAAAAGAAACCAGAGAGGTGGAAAAGATCCCGCGAGAGGGAGAAAGAGTCCTCAGGACATTACTGAGACCCTAGATCTATTCATAGACCTACAGTTACACAGGCCCACAGATTCCCTTTTGAGGCTCAGACGGGTTTAAGTGGTGTGTGTATCGCTGGCCGCCCCAAAGGCCTTAAGCCCAAAGGATGAAAAGGCACCTGATCGTGGTCCCTCCACACCTCCCTGCACTGGCTAACCTAATAGCGTGATACTGCTCACAATCGACAAAGCTGCGAAGGCAGGGAGGGAGCCGCCACAGGAGGAAAACAGCTGAGAAAGGGGGTACGTTACATAGATGAGGTTCTCCCGGAAACGCTTGCGAAGATTGTCCAGAAAAGCAGATTCGCTGGTGTGCGCGTCCAACAGCACGAAATCCTGCACCCCGACCTTGTCGCGGGCGGTCAGCGCCCCTTCCATGTGCAGGCGGATGTGCCGCCGCCTCACCTCTTCTTTCTGCAGGAAACAGAACATGCCTCAGCTGCCATTTCGTCTGATTCCTACTGCACGTCTCATGTGGAAACAGCAAGACCCTAGGCCCTGGGGATGGTAGAGAGCCAAGCTTGCATGACGCTGTCTTCATGAAGAGAGTACATCTGGTTAGAGATACAAGAGGGTGATGATAAAAGCAGAAACAGCAGTTAACAGCAGCAGCTGATGGGGACTGAGCATGTACTGTGTTAGGCACTTGCCATTTAATCCTCATTCTGCCTCTGTGACATAAGTACTATCATCATGCCCATTCTACAGATGAGGAAACTGAGGACAGAGAGGTTATAACACATGTTAAGACCTGCCAAAAGGCAGAACCAGGGTATGAACCTAGATAGCCGGGCCCCAGAACCTGCTGGTCATGTGTCACACTAAATGTTAGTTGCTTAAACTCGCTATGTAATGCCTAGACCAGCGATGAGGAGTCTGGTTGGAAAGAGAATTTCTTGTGACGGAAGAGTATGCAAAAGGAGAACAGACTTGGAAGGTCCTCTCCCCAAGGCTGGACTTCAGATCTCCGTGGAGAAGGTATGGTCGCAACCCACTGGGGGGCAGAGGATCTCACTGGGTGACCGGGGCCAGAGCTGGTCCAAGGTCACCGGGCAGAACAACTCTCCCGGGTGCAGGTGAGCGAAGGGCGTCGGGAGACCTGACGCCGCCCCATCTGAGTCGGGAAGGCCGTGGGGAACAGCTCTCCAGGACCCGAGGCTGGAGGCTGGAGCTTGTGCAGAGTGAGTGGGGTCACAGCTGTAGGCAGAGGTCTGCAGTGTGTGATGTGCCTGATGTGTGTGTGTGTGTGTGTGTGTGTGTCAACGTTGGGCCCGGGCTGGGAGTCTCCGAGGGACTCTGTGTTCTGGGCGCAGTCAGTGCGTGTCCCACCCGTGTCCCACTGAGCCCCTGACAAGAAAAAGCAAAACATAGTTAAGGGAGCCAGAAAGAGAACCTCCTGCCATTGCAATGTCCCTCCAGTGCCCTCTGCTGACAAAGGCTTGCATCATGCCCACACCAAGGAGAAATGGGTAGGAAGTCCCGGTCATGCTAACAGAAGTACTAACGGGGCCATTTGGCCTTGAGAGAGGATAGATGGGCGACAGGCACATAGGGTTATGCAAAGGTCCTAGAATAGTTGAAACGACCTTGAAAAAGAAAAACAGTGTTAATGGACTCACGCTTCTTTGCTTTCAGTAACCAAGAGTGTGTGTCGATTGATTTTTGACAACTGACAATTGTCAAAACAATTCAGTGCAGAAAAGAAAAATCTCTCCAATCAATAGTGCAAGAACAGTAGATGCCCGTAAGGAAAAATTGCATTCCAGCCCCTACCTCACACTATCTGCATACTCTATATTATATGTTAAATATAACATGAAATATACTTTATATATTAAATATAACATTAAATAAATACTACATTAACCATAACATTAAATACACAAATAGATATTGTATATTAAATATAGCATTAAATATATAACATATATATTAGTTATTATATAATTATGTATTATATGTATATTACATTATATATATTAACGTGAGATGGATTTCAGGCCTAAGTGTAAATGCAAAATCTATAAAGCTATTAGGAGAAAACAGGGCAAAATATCGTTGCATCCAGAGGCAGGCAAAGTTTTCTTAGAACACAGGAAGAAACTACAAAAGGACAAAATAAGAAATTAGACTTCATCAAATATATAACCTCTCTTCAGAAGACACTGTTAAAAAAAACACAAACAGGCAAGCTACAGGTTGGCAGAAAACATTCACAAAACGTGTACCTGCACAGGATCTGTGTCCAGAATGACTCCCACATAAATAATAAAGAGTCAAGCCCTAACCGGTTTGGCTCAGTGGATAGAGCGTCGGCCTGCGGACTGAAGGGTCCCAGGTTCAATTCCGGTCAAGGACATGTACCTGGGTTGCAGGCGCATCCCCAGTAGGGTGTGTGCAGGAGGCAGCTGATGGATGTTTCTCTCTCATCAATGTTTCTAACGCTCTATCCCTTGCCCTTCCTCTGTAAAAAATCCATAAAATATATATATTTTAAAATGTATTTAATAAAGAGTCAAGCTCAATAAAAACTGGGCCAAAAAAAAACCAAAACATGCGTGGACATTTCACAAAGGGAGATAGACAAATGGTCAAGAAACACCTAGGAAAATGCTCAGCATCCTTAATCATCAGGAAAATGCAAACCACAGTGAGATGCCTCCACCAAAACGGTTCAAAGAAAAGGGACTGACAGCGCCCGATGTCGGCGAGGACGTGGAGCCGACAAAACGCTCAACCAAACAGGGTCAGCGAGACGCAGAGGGAGAGAATCCTTTCGGGGAGAAGCCTGGCAGTTTCTAATGAAGTCACCGAGCCTCTCCCCTTTGATCCGGCAGTCCCATCCCCGAGTGTTTACATAAGACGAGTGTGAACACGCGCTCACAGAAAGACCCGAACACGGAGGTTTACACCAGCGTTATTCATCACGGCCCCGAACTGGAAACAATCCAAACTCCCATCAGCCGGAGAAGGCGCGCGGCCATCGATGCCACTGGCCGGGCCCGGCGATCAAAGAGAAGCGCTGGCGGGCCCGGGGACACCGTGGCTCTCAGACATGCGGCCGAGTGAAAGGCCCGACACAAAAGGCCGCGCGCCCTCTGGCTCCATTTATATGAAATTCTAGGACAAGCACAACTAATCCACAGAGAACATCTGAGCAACCGCCGCCTGGTTAGGGGGGATTGTCTGGCAAAGGGCGGTGTTAGGACTAATGGAAATGTTCTCTGACCCAAGAGGGCCGGGGGTTACACGGGCCGGTCTATCTGGCAAGGTGTGTGTGAAGACGGTGTGCATTTTGATATGTGTACATTTTATTTATTTTTTATTTTATTCGTTTTTTAATCGTCACCCAAAGATATTTTTCCATTGGTTTTTAGAGAGAGAGTGGGAAAGACAGAGAGAAACATCGATGTGAGAGAAACACATCGATTGGTCGCCTCCTGCACTCGCCCTGACCAGGGCCCGGGCCAGGGAGGAGCCTGAAACCGAGGTACGTGCCCTTGACCGGAATCAAACCCTTTGGTCCGCAGGCCGATGCTCTATCCACCGAGCCAAACCGGCGAGGGCTGTACATTTTATTTTTAAAAGAACCATCAAAATAATCAAGTGGGAAGGGATGGGGAGTGGGTGGAGGTATAGAAGAAGACATTTATGGCAGGGTAGATGGCCGGAGCTGGGTACAGGAGGGATTTATTACGCTATTCTGTTTGCTTTGAAATGTAATTGAATTTCCCATGATAAAAGTTAAAAAAAAAAAAAACAGGACGGCCACCAGGTGTCTCCCTACACTAGCCAAATGGAGCTACAAGAAAACAATCACCTGCTCTCTAAGGTCGAAAACAACGCGTCGAGATAAAAAATATTTCAGTGATTCTGAATATTCTCACTTTAAAGTTGGTTTGTTTTTTTTTGTAGGAGAGGCAGCACAGCATAGTGATTAAACACAAGGACTTTGCAATGCGAGCCTGCCCAGGTTCAAGTGCCATTTCTGCCTGCCTCTCGCCGGCAGTACAACCTTGGGAAAGTCTCTTGCTCTGTCCAAGTCCTCGAAGCTGCTCTGTGTCTGTAAAACGGAATCGACTGTGCCTACTTCCCGGGGCTGCTGGTTTGGACAGGACCGGGGAGACCACTGGGAACGGTGCCAGACGCAACGCCAGCTCTGCAGCACTCGCTTCTGCCCTCAACTGTATCCGTGACACGATCGTTAGAAACAAGAATATTAAAAGCAGAAGTCTGTGGGTGAGCAGTCGGTGAGCCCCGATTGGGAGCAGGCTGGAGTCGGAAATACTATCGGAGCTGCACCCACAAATACGACTCAGTCAGATCTCCGCAGGCGGAGGGTGTAGAGATGAACAAACTTCTAACTTTTTTAAAAATTGTTTTTATTGATTTCAGAGAGAGGGAAGGAGAGTGGGGGAGATAGAAACATCAATGAGGAGAGCGAGACATTGATCGCTGCCTCCTGCACACCCCCTCCCCCTCCTGGGGATCGAGCCTGCCACCCGGGCATGTGCCCTGACTGGAAATGGAACGGTGACCTCCTGGTTCATGGGTCGATGCTCAACCACTGCCACCTGGTTCATGGGTCGATGCTCAACCACTGAGCCACACTGGCCGAGCAACAAAGCTTCTTTCTCATCTGCCCTGGGGATGGGAGGGTGCTGTCCTTACAAGAGTGAGAGCCCTGTGGCCAGCCCAGGGCCTTATGCAACGTTCAGCCCAAAGAGATTTGACAAAACTCCCTAAATTAAGGAATGAAACAGTGAAATCGTAAAAGGCCCAGTGAGATGTTCAGCTATCCATCGCCCCCTGGTGGTGAGTGAAGAAGGCGGCATTCACACTGACAGCTGGACCCCAGTGCTTGGGCACCCAACCCTCGCCCACCACCTGCAGGCAGGCTCCCGGTTGCCGGAGGGGAAAAGGAGGAGATGGAAGAGAAGGGCCGGGAAGAAAATCTAAAAGCCATTCTTTCAAAATAGAAGCTCGATCTACTTCGGTTCTGCCTAGATGCCACCATCTGTCAGGAAAGCAGTTTCCATTTTGTAACAAAATTGGAATACGGAACCGTCCCCCCACCCTCCGCTGAGCTGGGGACTGCTCCTGCCAGCTCAGTACCCCTGCGTCCTGGCCAAAGATTCCATTTCGCTGCTCAACATCCGTAACAATTAAACGCAAACAAATGAAAGCAACAGCACCGGGTTATTACCATAAAAAGAAACGTACGGGAGAGGATCGCACACAACACTGGGAGATTGACGTGAGATTAAAACCCCAACGCACTGCAAGCGGCAGAGTACATTTTAACTAGCCCTCAGAAATGCAATGTTGCCATAGGGCAGTGATGGCGAACCTTCTGAGCTCGGCGTGTCAGCATTTTG